TGTGTGTGTGTGTGTGTGTGTGTGTGTGTGTGTGTTTAAAGGAAGAAGTAGAAAGAAAGGATAGGGCATCTGCTACATATAAATGATGATTTGCTAATTTTAAAGTCAAATATGGTACAAATAAATGTGCTTAAATTTCTAAGAGGACTTCTAGTTTCTACTATCAAAAAAATTAAAAATGAAAAAAAAAAGAAAAACACAAAGGAAAAAGATGTAAATATATCTCTATATCTGCAAAATATTCTAAAAGTGATTCATTCAAATCTACTTATGGAAGCATGTTATAAATTCTAAAACACCAATGAGATTGTATTTTAAGTTTAATTTTTAAGGTCAGACTCTACAAGACACTAAATAGTCTAGTGTGATTCTTCTGGGTTTTATGTTACAATGCTGTTCCTAGTGTAGCAAGCTGTGAGGACCACTGATTTAAGACAGATGAATCCAGATAGGACTACTTCCTCACAGCAAGAAGCTGAGTTTTCATTTTGCTAGTCCTTATTAAAGTTCTGTTCAGGTCAGAGAGAAGGTAACTGAACTCAAGAGTTACTTATGTGAATCATACAAATGTTTCCTCACCCTAAACATTTCCTTGATGCTCTCTATGTGCAATCAATAATCTTCTCTCCTGTGTTTTGATAACATTTAAATCATATTGATTATATAATAATTATCACATTGTGGGCTGGCCAGTTAGCTCAGTTGCTTAGAGCCTGGTGTTGTAACACCAAGGTCAAGGGTTCAGATTCCCATACAAGCCAGGTGCCAAAAATAACTAACTAACTAAAAACAAAAAAACAAACAAACAAACAAGAATAATGATTGCATTGTATTACAGATCATTTTAAGTGCATATTTCATGATAGACTATCAACAGGTTGAAATCAGACACACTGTCTTGATCATTATTGCGTCTCTGATAATTACATAATATTAGGTATTTTGCTATATTCTATAGAAAATACAGTAAGACTAGACCTGCCAAAGAGTGCACAATCACTTTCCATCCCCTCCCTGAAATCTCATTATCTACTGAAGTAAAAATGACTTGAGGAATGAAACCACACCTGAACAGACTTTTCACAAGATAATGTCCTTTTCTCAGGCTTATTCAAATTCCAAAGAGAATTATTTACAAGTTAATTTCTGTTTCTCTGCTATATCTATATGGGGCAGTTGTGCCCTTCCCTTGACATTCCTTTGTTGTTTAATTCTTTAGATTCTTAATTGTTTTTTTTTAATCCTGAGAGATTAAACAGTAGACATGTTAAGAAAAAAATGAAACTGTAACCAAAATTTTAAAATAAAGTTTTTTTTAAAAAAAAAACACCTGATTTTTAGATATTTTTTTTGTTCTTGTCTATTTCAACTGGTTCATAGTATGGACTAAATATTAAGATTTCAATTTTAAATGGTTATTTTTGTGATTGATAGTAAAGTGGTACCTTTTCATTTGTGAAATGGTATGTAAGTGTTAGTGGATGTCATTTAAGTTTGATATATTGGCCAATAAAAAATTTTTAATGATAGTATTACCTTAACACAGTCTATTTAATCTTAAAGCTAACTTCAAAACCCCTCAAGTTATTTACTCTTTGGAAATGTGGGGGACAATTAAATTGGTCTCTTTCGACATGCTGCTTTTAAAAATAATTGTGATGTAAAATCCATTAATTTGTAGTTATTCTCTTCTTCTTATGGCCTCTTTGTCCATTGGCCCTGAAATTAGTCTTTTAATAACACACTATTATTTAATGTTGGAAAGAAAATTTAACCATAGTTACTTTTAAATCATTTTATTTGTGATGTCATTGAAAAATCAGATTGTTAAATTATTTAACATGTTAATTTGAGTTTTGGTTACATTTATACTAATGCTGTGGAACTGCATAGTTCCAAGAAGTACAGTCAATTCCTGGTGGTCTAGGCCATTGATTATTTTAAGGAAAAAATTAAATTTTACATAAGGGATTGTGGGCATTTGGTAATCAGTCACAAAGTTCCAATGTTTAATATTTGTGTTAACATTTGATAGGCAGAATAAAGATGAAGGAAAGAAGCCAGAAGTTAAGAAAGTGGAGAAGAAGCGAGGTTAGTTATTTCACTTTCTCAGATGTATAAAATTATACATAGAAAGGAAGCTATACACTTAATTTTTCATGTATCAGTTTTGGAATCAGTCTCATTTTATATTCTAAGAAATGTACAAGTATACATTTTCAAATCCCTAGTGGATTCTGTCTAAATTGCATTGTATTTTAGGCATAATAGGGTGAACTTGCTAAAGAGTCGTCTTTATATTTTAATGCTCATTATTTGATGACGTTAAATTTTTGTAACTGTGCCAAAAGCTGGGTGCTTTCCCATTTTTGACAAATCCCTTGGTTAAACATGTCAGGTAAGGCAGGTGTTTTTAGGACTGGAGTGTACAGTAGTTCATTATTGGATGCAGACTATTTATTTTAGAAACAAACAAAGGTAGATGGTGATTTTGTGCTTTTATGCTCCATGTTACTTTCCTAAACACTTTCACTAAACGTTTAGTATATTAAACCTTGAATGCGAAAATACTCAAAATATTAAATACTAAAAATGGCAGACAACTTCTTATTTATTCTTAGCTAAGCTACTGTTCATGTATTACCAAGAACATTTTTTTTAGTTCACCAATTCTTTCCATTATACTTTGCTTAGACTATACAGAAATACTGGTTTGGAAAAACCACTTACTATTTTTCACATATTTTAATTTATAGAAACATCAATGGATTCTCGACTTCAAAGGATACATGCTGAAATTAAAAATTCTCTCAAAATTGATAATCTTGTAAGTGTTTAACCTCATTTAAAAATAGTGCTTTTATAGCTTCATGATTTTATGTAAATTTAAGATAAAAGGGACAATTATTGGTTATTTTATACTGCCTTATTTGATATTTTCAAAAACTAATCTTCAGAAATAGATTCTATTTGATAATTAAGTTATGAAATTACTGTTTTGTCATGAAGGATGTGAACAGATGCATTGAGGCCTTGGATGAACTTGCTTCACTTCAGGTCACAATGCAGCAAGCTCAGAAACACACAGAGATGATTACAACACTGAAAAAGGTAAGCGATTTCAAGTCCTGTAGATTTTAAAACTTCTTCATTAAAAAATAGGGTTTAAATAAAAAATCAATTAGGAAAACAGTTATGAATGTATATTATTTTCTCAGATACGGCGGTTCAAGGTTAGTCAAGTTATCATGGAAAAGTCTACAATGTTGTATAACAAGTTTAAGAACATGTTTTTGGTTGGTGAAGGAGATTCCGTGATCAAACAAGTGCTGAATAAATCTTTTGCTGAACAAAGACAGCATGAGGAAGCGAATAAAACCAAAGATCAAGGGAAGAAAGGGCCAAACAAAAAGCTAGAAAAGGAACAAACAGGTTCAAAGACTCTAAATGGAGGATCTGATGCCCAAGACAGTAGTAATCAGCCACAACATAATGGAGATAGCAATGAAGAAAGCAAGGACAACCACGAGGCCAGCACTAAGAAAAAGCCATCCAGTGAAGAGAGAGAGAATGAAATCTCTTTGAAGGATTGTACTTTAGACAACTAGTGTTGACATACCTGGAATATAAAGAACATTTGAGAAGTTTGTAATGGTTTCCATTTGAAATATTTAGACTGCTGAAAGTTTTAAATTTTTATAAGCATAGGTTTTGATGTTTAAAACTTTTGAAAGAGAAAATCCCTTCATCTTTGTTTAAAGTAATTAAACATTATTGCTAATTGTACTTGTGCAGTATTAACAGCTACATTATACAATAAATGTGGGTGGGAATCCCATTTGGAAAATGTTAAACTGCTTTTCCAGACATGGTTGTAGCATATTTTCAAGTAGTGTGTATGTTAATGTGTAATTGGTAGTAGAACCAAGTTACATTTTAAAAACTGCTATTTGTATAAACCTTTCCTCTTTTCCCAAGTACCGTGGGTTTTGTGCATAGTTTTTACAAATCTTGGATTTACCAGACTGTCTTTTCACTGTTTGTGGGTTTTGTAGAAGTTAAGCATTTTTATGGTAGATAAAATGTTACTTCTAAAAAAAAAAAGATATTCTATGAATAAAGAAAAAAATCAACTACCAGCAGCATAGCAGTTTTTGAAATTTCAAATATTTTAGGTATAATAATAAATGATAAAAATGCATTAGCCTTCTATAGACAGAATGAGATCACTTTAATTAAAAATGTAGATAGATATCAGTTTGTTTCATTTCATTATTAATGCTGAGATTTAAAATTCCAAATAATATAATAATCATTTTTTTAAAAGGACATTCGAAATAAAAATACAATGTGTTTTTTTGTTTTCAATAATATTACATTGTAGCTATGTTTAATAAACTATCACCTTTAATATTTTCCACTCTTGGACCCTAGTCAGAGGAGATCTGGATTCTTGCTTTAGCACTTTCAGCAATCTTTCGCCTCCTACATCCCTCGTTTTCCTGAGCACACCTGCTCCTTCCTGAATATTCCTGTAATATCCCACTGACTCCGATCTTGCCTTCCTCTACTATGAAAGGATTCACAAATATTACATTTTAATTAGAGTTTGTAACTTTCATATCTGAGTGATAACCTGTCTGGGAACAGCAATTTAGATGCTTAAAATTTCCATAAATTTGTGGTTGGCTTTTGTTTTTGTCGTTTTTCAGTTAACATGTTATGCCCTTCTGATGTTGGTTTTTAAAGCTACACCAATATTAACTCACTTTGAAAATATAATTTTACTTAGAAGCATAGAGAATTCTTTCTAGAGCGTTGAATAAAAATAATAATTTGTATGAGTGATAATTTTGTTCATAAAGTTAACTAAAATAGTAAGCCATGTTAATTTTATGACATAATTTTTTATAAATAGTAAAATTTTTTATATAAATCTTTGATTATTGATTTTAATCCATTTACCTTTTTCTCTTCCACACTTTCCATGATAACAATTTAGATTTATGCTTGACATTTTATGACCAAAGTATTTATAATATTATAATATAATATAGAAATATCCTTACTTTTTCTTTGGTTTTACCTTTTACAAACATCAAGGAGATAATATTCTCTTGGCTTTCCTGCTACCTCACTGGTCATTCTTTGTCAAATTCCTTTATGATTACTTATTCTCTATTTAAATAACAATTTATGTTCCAATGATAAAGTTAGGAATAGAGCTCAGATATCAGAACTTTCCTCTTTTCACTATCGATTGATGAAGTCATCAGTTTCATGATATTATATAACATTTATATGATAACAACTCACAAATTTATGACTTCATAAGTGTCCTTCACCCCATTAGAAATAAAAGAATAAAAATCATATGATCATTTCAATAAATGCAATAACTTGATAAAATTCCACACCCAATAGTAATTAAAAATATAGAAACCTAGATTTAAAAAGCAATAACTATTTTCTGGAAGAAATATTAAAAGTATTCCTATTAAATTCAGTCTTAAGCAGAAGATGCCCACTGTCACAATTTCTATTTAATATTAAACTTGACAGCATAGCCTCATACAAAAAGGCATTATAACTGAAAATACCTTCCATTACTCACAGACTCTAAAATTATTATCTAAACATGAAATGCAAAAGGACAAATTAATAAAAACAATATGAGAATTTAGAAAAGTGGTTGTCTATAAACAGATATATAATATTCAATTTTATTTCTATGTAAGCAGTTGAAATAATTTTTAAAAGACACCATGCATAAGAGTGTCTAAAATTATAAGGCACAGAGAAATAAGTCTTATACAAGTAATGTAATATTATTATGTGGAAAATTATTTTACTGTATTGAAAACATTTAAAGTCTTAAAAAATGAAGAGAGATTCTTTGCTCACTGAGGAAAGAATTCAATATTATGGAAACATAAATGTCTTCCAAAAGATCCATAATGT